GCCAATTTCCTTTTACATGGAGGAATCTTTACCTGCTGATCCAGCAGAAATATTTGTCACCTCCATAAAGACATGATTAGAGTGATATGACAACATTAGGACTAACCAAAATGTAAGTTAGTAATAATGTAGTTATGAGCTACACTGCATGTTACATAATGTCTTACTTTCAAAAAGAAAAAAATGGTTCAGATTAACAGCAAAGTTATGGATTCAAGCAGTAAACAAACATGATTCTGTTACACCCTTTGGCAGCTGAGACAAAGTGATATCGTCAGCTCTGCCTTGCATGCCCCAAGTCACATGTTGTTTGTGACTCATTTAATCTCTACAACTGCCTCTATTGTTCTGTAGAGCACAACAGTATAAAGGGATGTCAACTGAGAAGCAAGAAACAACTATTGCATTGTTAGATGGAAAAAATAAATTTATAAGTAATTCATGCTTCTGTCTTTTATGATCTCTCTCTAAAGACTAAGAAACTGTTCTTGGTAAGAAATACTTCTCTTGTTTCTCAGGAAGATGGTAAATAAACCCTGTATTTTTATTTTGGTTATAACTATTCCTATTTTAACTTTTATTCAGTTAGTGGTTACTGCAGGTAAAGTAGTTCATAAGGGAAGGGAGGTGGACAGTAATTGCATCTGAATGACTAGCAGCTTGTGCCTTCCCTTGAAAGCACTGCTAATGCAATGAAATGATCAATTGACTTTCATATGAAAGAGGAGTTTCTTGCTTAGTGTCACTAGAAAGGAAGAATCACATTACTGTTTTGCTTTCTACTAGGTGTTCTACAGTTTTGGCCTAAACCAAGAATCTTGCAGAGGTGAGGCAGAAGCTGAGGAGAATTTGGTTCAGAATTTGTGAAAGACATATTTTTCTAAAGAATTTGCCAGAACAGTATCAATTGCTTGCTTAATTGTTATTTATCACTTGCAGAAACACTGATTTTGGTTAAATGTGTTAAATGGTAGTTGACTGCCAAAATATGGTTCAAACAACAAATCTGCCTACTCAATATCTAAAGGAGAAGAGCACCCTTATTGTCAATGTTAGCATATGAGAGATGCTTAGCTGTCATACCTTTTGCAATGGTGATTTTTTTGCAATAGCTGTAGGCAAATGCTTTAAAAAGGGAAGTTGTAAAAATTACCACTGAGTGATTAAAAGTAGTACTACTCATAAAAGACTTACAGCAGCCAGGGTTTGTTTCTGGCAGCTGGAGTGTCAGGTACTGACTAATATTTGCTCCATTTATTATCTGTCAGGTGTCAGTAGGTGTTTTAGAAATGGCCTCTGTGTCCTGACACAGCAAGCAGAGATTGCAGAGTGTTGGGTGTCATTTTTGCTTTCCATTACACACAGGAGGATTTAAGACTGGAGGATTTAAGCTGTTCTATGGAAATACAGATAAGGAGCCACAGTAGCACTGGGCATAAGGCTAAAATCATCTTGGTTTAGTTCTTAAACCACGTTGTAACATTTTAAGAGGGCATTTCAATACCTCAGCATATCTGTGGCCTGTTCCTGTAGGCTTGATGCTTTTTGGTAGTGCTTGCATAAATGATTTTTTTCCTCCAATTTTCTTAAGTCATTTTCCAAGGTGCTGAATAACTTTGGATTAAAATGGTTAATATTCTTACTGCCATCTCATAACTTCCTGGTAGATATGCATTTAAATTTGAAAAAAGTGCTACGCAACTGGAATTTAACAATTTTGTGTAAAACAGCCATGTCTTTCTTATACCTTGCATGGTTGGCACTTGAGAAGGAAGATGATTGAATAAAGGACATACTAATATAGATAAGAAGTATAAAAATAGTTTGTGTTGGAATATTCTCTTTTGCTAAGACCTGAAGATCTGGGCACTATTAATTTGCACTCCAATATGCGTGTTTGGTATATCAGATAGAACTATTAATTGCTAATGAAAGTGATATATGATAGCTATTAGGCTCGATGTCTCATATAAGGTTTAAAACTAATAAAAAAAAGAAGCAAATATCAACAGCTGAATCTTCTCAAAAATTATTGCTGATCAGGCTTTTTGCATTTCTCTTCTGAAGAAGCTCCTCTTCTACTCCAGGGTTTCATTATTGTTGTATCTGTAAGAACTCGGAACAGCTATGTTTAAATCTATTTGCCTTAAATCTTTCTGGCAAGGAAGCTGTACTCTAGGACTACCATTAATTACCACTCTTCTAACCTTTGTTGATTTTTTTAAAGATTTGAATATATAGGATCTTTCAGAATAGGTGGCAAGATGTTACATCTCAAAGGAAATGTCATATGTTAGATGATTTCTGTGGGATCAGAGGTTATATCCTGATTAGATTGCAAGATCTTCTTGAGCAAGAGCAGATAGAACACAGCGTCCTGGAATAAAGCATGTATACATGCTTTTGTATTTGAATACTGTGTAGTAACTTCATATTTCTCCTCTACTTCAGAATCCTGCCATGTGAACCCAACTGTGTGTGATGATATGTTTCCACTTTGTTTCTGACACTTGAAAACAGTTGTGGAAAAACTGCTGAAAATCTAGGCGGGAGATGGACATGGAAATACTATCTGGTAGGAACAACTCCCTTGGGAATGTGAAGCACTGTACAGAGTTATGTGAAAATAAATTTGGAATAAAAAGCAGAACAAGTAACAATACAGCCAAAAGGATAAAGTCCAGATGTTCATTTGCAACACAACTCACTGAGTGAGTTATAATTAGAATATGAAGGCCAAATACATGATAAATAAATCTTATAACAGTCCTTGTCACTAAATAAGAAATACTTCCTTTCTAAACATCCACTTATGTTCATCTTGCTTGTTTCATCTATTATCTTGGTTGTGCAAGCTATGAAGTTGCAAGATGTTATGTTACCTTGGAGTCTACCATAGAGCACCTGAAGCTGTAGCTTTTAAAAGAAATAGATAATAATTCTTCTGTGAACTTTTGTGGCTCATTGAATTCTGAGGTCAATAAATAATAAAGGAGGGGAGAGAGAGGGGGAAGGGGGAGAAAGGGGAAGCTCCAGACCTGCTACTTCTAGCCCCCAGCCATATCTTCAGATATGGAAAATCCAAACTATTCTGGACCTTTACTTTGGTGCTTAACTACTTTCATTATTTAAATAACTTTATTTATACTCAATGTAATTGCTCTTGTTGTTACTCAGCACTGTCACCTTGACCTTTTCCTCTACTTGTCTGAGCAGTGTTCAATTTCCTCTATATCTCTTCCCATAGAGTGCATCCAGTTTCTCCGTAGCTATCTCTTTTCTAGCCTCAGCAAGCTCCATTGCCTCAGGCATCCCTCACCATTGCTAGGTGGAGGGAATGATCCATTCCCTCAGCTCACTGCCAGTTCTCTCATTGCAGCCCAGTGAGCACAGCTGAAACCAGTTCACTCACTCTGTGGTGTCTGGGGTTATTTTTTGACTGCTTGTTTACATGTCCCCTCTTAAATAATTTCCACTCTGTGTATTAAAAAAAAAAATTAAATAATAAAAAAGAAGAGGAAAAAAAAAAAGACAAAAAAAAGCTAAATCATTAAAACCCCCAAACAAAACTAAAAGAAGCCCCGAGAAAACACACCATCATCTGTAACACATTTTTCAGTCTTTGCATTGTCTGCATGTTGGGTGAATTTTTATATTTTTTTCTTACTGCTATTTGTAATACTGTTAGAGTATACTAGAAATTTATTTATTCACTTTTTAGAATTAGTTTTAATGCATTAATTATACAGAATATAAAATCTTAAAATAATTTCGTCTTCTACAATTTAATTCAGTTAGTTCCCTCAGCCCCTAAAATGACTGTGAAATAGATGTGTTTAAGATTATATATATTTAAAAATGCACTTAACCCAAAACTTATCACAATAAAAGCTGGAGGGATTGCAACTTAAAGCAAGTAAACTAGGTAATTACAGTTTGCAGATATCTGAAAAGCTTTCTATAACAATCGTAAAACTTAGACTTCTAAACAAGCTAAAAAGAGCATCAGGATGTGAACAAAAGAAGGAGGGAAGGAAGGGAAGGGAAGGGAAGGGAAGGGAAGGGAAGGGAAGGGAAGGGAAGGGAAGGGAAGGGAAGGGAAGAAGGAAGGAAGGAAGGAAACAATAAAAGCTGGAGGGATTGCAACTTAAAGCA